GTTCCGAAGCCAGAGAAACATGAAGAAGTACAGCCTGGTCGACTCAGCCTCATACCTATTGCATCAGAATCTCAGGAGCCCAGTGAGAGATGAGTTTTCATTATTCTAATGGTAATTCAGATGTAACTGTTTTAAGGGCCAGCACTTGTAAACACTTCTTTTTCAAACTTTCCAAGTATCTGAGATAACTGAGGAAATAATGAATAGGCTATTTATACACAATGATAAAGAATTATTGAAGACTTTTAAAAATGGTAATTGAAGAATTGAGTTTGAATATAGGCAGCATTTGTCTATTATTTGGGGGGGCGGGCATAGGGACATCCCTGAGGCTTGTGTTCAACCATAAGCCTGCTCCCCATCCCAGCTTTTGTGGGACCACCTTACTCCCTTCTGCTGGGTAGGCCCCTTCCATGGGCTGAGGAATAACTTTGTCAGCTCTTAGTCAAGAATTTCTCCCCTCAACAGAACTAGATTCCCCAGATGTGTGTTCACCATCATTCATCTCTTTATTTACTTCAGAGAAGGTTCACCACAATGCATGTTAGCCAGAGTGCACAGCAAAGGAAAAAGTTAATGTTTCACTGTTGGATTACTGAATTACTAAATTAATTGTTAAATATAGAGAATAGTTACTAGTTTTGAAAGCCAACATCTTTATTGCAATAGCAGGATATTTTGAGGGGAAAAGGGATGCTTTGGAGTTTTCCTTGGTGATTATTTTAGCTTCAAAATGCTAACAGTCTAAAGGCCTCAAGAACATTACATTTTACCACAAACAGTGCTGGAAACAATACAAGATGAGTCAATTTTCATGAGCAGTGTAAGTAGAAGGTGTATGGAGTGAGAAAAGAGGAGATACATACTAGATGACCAGGGAGGGTTTCAGAAAAGGAGACTACCGTTCTATTCCCCCTATAATGAGCTACAGATTGGTTTAGGGAATCCAGCAAACTTGGTATCCATTCTCAGCTCTCTGGGCAAGATTGCATGTAGAGAAAATAGCAAGTCCCTCAGAATCCTAGGTCCTGTAGAGGAGAATGGGAAACCAGGTTTCTACAGCTTCAGGGTCAGGGGGAAAATTGTTCTGTGCCATTAAGATAGATAGAAAATTACCTGAATGAGGGCCGGTAGACAAGAATGGCTTCAGAAAGAAAATAAAACATGCCATTAGCCATGGTTGCTTAGATCTTACAAGACAGATTTTTCTGGTTAGAGGCTTCAACAGTGAAGACAGAAAGAGCAATGTCCCAAAGCACATGAGGAATACTTGTCAGTAGATGTCAGTAGAGGCCAGAATTTGAAGAAACCAAGAAACCAAAGGCACTTTCTCTCTCTCTCTCTCTCTCTCTCTCTCTCTCTCTCTCTCTCTCTCTCCCTCTCTCTATCTATATATATATATATATATATATATCCCTCCCTCCAATATCCAGGATAGAATATAATGCCATGCCTTCCACATCACCTTTCTTTCTGGTTTGTTTTGTTTTGGTTTTGGTTTGTTTTTGGTACCGGGGATCAAACTCAGGACATTGAACTTGCCAGGGAGCTGCGGTGCCACTGAGCCACAACACGTTTCTAAGGGACAATCCTAGGGAGGTGGAACATGACGAGACTTGAAGACATTAACCTGGCAGTGTTAGGCTAAGGTAAGTCAAACTTTTACAGTGACATTCAAAATCTTACAGAAATCTGCCTCCAACTTGCCTTTCTCACAATGTGCCTATGATTTCCATACACAGACATCCCAGGAAGTCATTCACTTCTTCATAAAGGGTTCTAAATCTTTACTTCTGCATATTTGCTGATAACATTTCTCCTGATCACCTTGAAATTCTTGAATGATGTCTTACATATGTCATTAACTCCTAACACACTGCCTAGGTAAGATGGTTAGCCAGTGCTTCTGAGGCATCCAGGGAACTGAAGGGGAATAAATTGATGAATGAAAAAGGAATGATTAGAATGTCCTTAGAATTATCTCCCTATTTGAAATTTACCTGAATTCCCAAGAACAGGAAATGTTTTTCTTTTTTTCTAAAAAGAGTTTAGCGGATATCAGTATTTTTAAACTTCTATGACATATTATTATTTATTATCATTTTATATAATATAAAGGTAATATATGCTAAAATGGCAATGATTGCTGGTATTACTTCATATTTGCATATGCATATACACATAATCACCTCCAAGATTGTAATCCTCTTGAAAGACATTGTACTTATAGTGAGAGTTAAATTAGGTGAATAAATACAAACTTTTATACCAATACCTTTCCCCAATTATTCACAATGCTAGCTAAGTGAGGGGGAACAATATAAGATAAGATAGATACCACAAATCTATGTCTTGTGTGACGCTCTCAGGTACTCTTAAATACTAAGACAGTAACTGAGTTCAGTGACGTTTGTCTCTTCTTTTGAAAGAACAGGGTACAGCAAACTTTCGGGCCTATACTTCCTGCTGCTTGGTGTTAAAGAAAGCCAAATGGACCATTCAAAGGGGAAGTATGTGTCTGTATTACCACTTTCAGGCCAATTTCGCTGCCAGCTCTTACACTAATGATTTTACCTCAGAAATGACATTTAATAAGTTTTAGTGGGTGATAACTATGAAAATGTGTGCAGTCCATCTTGGTAACCTTTGTACTTTAAGGACATTAAGTCTGGAAACACTTAACAGATACAACTTTTTATGTATCATAACCACAGTCAGTCTGCTCATGTTAGTTTTCCTTAACTACAGTGGAGACTTGACTTACGAACTTGATCAGTTCCCAAGGGCTGGTTTTAACTAGTCAATACAGTTGAGATCTGGATGTTTACCTGGGTACACACTGAAGAAGACAAGAGGCAGATGAATCTTCCATTAACCTAAATAACTCAAGTCGTTTGTATGTCAGGCCAGTTGTAACTTAAGGTTCCACTGTATTTTTTCACTAAATTCCAAACCCCAGGCAGACAACTGATTTTGAAAGCAATAAACAATGCATTACTCTGTAAAATCTTTTCAGATTAATATTTTGAGAGAGTCATTGATCAAAATAGATATTGATTTTGGTACAAAAAATAAAAATGAACAGAAAGACTTATATTTCAGGAAATACTTACATATTTTACACTTACAGTATATTTATATTTGCATTTTATACTTAACTTTTTTCCAGAAGAAGTAATATAATCTTTTACCTATTTTCCCCAAATCATCAATCATTTTATCTGTTCACTGTATTTGCATTGGTTTTAAAATATTTTTCAATAAATGTAACATGCTTTTTACTAGATTTTATTACTTTCACTTATTTTCCCTTATTTACATGTTAACAGAAAGGAACATTAGACAGATCCTTGATATACTATTTAAATGAAGATTTTCTTACTAAATATGTCTAAATTTTAGGATTAAGGAATGGATTTCAACTTAACATTTTCTTATTAATTTCAGCTTTATTTTAATGATTATCATCATGTTTTATTCATGGGTAATGAATCATTTTCCAATGAAACCATAAAAGTTAATTTTGAATGGTTTGAAAAACTATATCCGGCTTTTATATATTAATTTTTGTCATATGAATTATTATGTTTTTGAATAATTTATGCAGTTACTCATACTATAATGATGAATTTGGTTTACACATATTCTATTTATTGTTAGCATGTTTACTTTCTCTGTAAAAGCAGATAGCAGTGCCAGGGATGTAGTTTAGTGGCACAGTGCCTGCCTGGGAAGCAAAAGGTCTTGAGTTTGATCCGCGGTACCAAAAAAAAGCAGGTAGCAATAATATTGCCCCAAATATATAATTAGACCCCTACAATTCAAAAGCTTATGTGTTTCTTGGTATTGAATAACCTACTTCTGATGCTGATTTCTACTGTGTGGAAGCATATTTTCTTTTTAAAATTTTATTATGTAACTTTATTAAGGTGTTCGTTAATAAATCTCTTCTCAAACAGAAATGGCCATTGAGTAAAAAAAAAGAAAAGAAATTAATTCCCTTCAAACAAACTTCCATGGTGACAATTAGGCCAAATTATTAGAAAGAGCAAGCCAAGACTGCTCACTTTTCACCCGTTAGTTTCTAAATTCTCACTTTGCATCACAGCAGAAAGTCTGACATAGTTTTCTGTGATGAAAAGCTTATTCAGGACATGCAAAGCTGGTTATAGATCTCTTCCTTAACTCCAGTTTTTCCTTTAAAGATTTTTTTTCTGTCTAACTCAGACTGTCCCCTTTATTTTAAAATTTCTCTTTATAGGAGAGTACATGTCAAGTTTATATTCAAATCCTTCTTCCTTTCACCTCTAGCCAGAAGCCACTGGTGGTTTTGACCTCAGCAACTCACCATCGGGGGATCCTAGATGTGGTTGTGACTGAACTCAGCCCAAACTACCCTGGCATGCTCGTTCCTGTTGCCTCTGAAAGAGGCCTCCTTTGTAATGTTGTATGTGATGCTATTTCCCCTTAATTTTTTCCATTTCATAACATTTTCCCTTATTTTATCTATGTCATCATGTTCTAAATTAATTCAAATACAGACCTGTTATTTAGATTGATTTTGGAAACTAAAGAGTATAACACTGATGATTACAGTAATAACTTCCGTAGAATATCGTGGTTTCATTAAATAAAACACATAATCCATAACTCTCAGATAAATAACTTTTAACCAAACTCACACTGTCATATTCCAAACAGCAATTAATTCCACGTTATATTTCTTTTCCTTTGTATTCTCATTTTTACATTTTCATTATTTTTGAATTATATTCTGTAAACCAGCCAAGATCTATACTGTTTCTCAGATTATTCTTTAATGTCTCTGTAGCTCACTCTAAAGACATTTTATATGAATATGTTTCTTATAGTAAATCTATGAAAACATTAATCAGTTCATAATAAACAAAACATCTCAGATATTGCTAATGTAATAAGTTGCACAGTACATTTTTCTGCATCTTCATTTAAATTAAAAACATTTAAAGAAAATACCTTACCCCAAAATTTTTCTGGCCATGAAATTTCTAAAGTTGTTGTGTTATTAGCCATAATATCCACAAGACAGAGAAGACAGAAAAGCCAGTATGTCCAAAAGAAGCAATTTGATTCTACGTCTTTGTACTTCAGCAAAATAATTTTCACACAACCCCTCATGTACTTGTGTTTGCATTAAAGGAAATAAGTGTATCATGTTTCCTGCTTTTATACTCAAATTAGCAAGTGTTTTTCTTATCTTGGAATTCCACATGGTTCCCGAGACACAAAACTATTTCCTTCTGGTCATTTCCTCAGCTAAGCTAAGTTCCTCCTCCCAAACACCTCCAGAGCTGCACTGGAACAGAGGCTTTTGCTGCTGCTGTTTCCCCATCCCGTACTGACAGACACAGGAAAAATGCTCAGCTATAGACTGCTGTTAAATTATATACCATTGAAAATAGCCTGCTTTTCAATGTTTGAAAATCATATTTATATAGTAAATGGGGAGTAAGGAGGTTATCCAGAATTTCATTCTCTATCAAATGCAATTAGCTTTTATTTAAGAATTTCGGTTGCCTATTTAAATTCTTAGTATTTCTATTTCTTATTGCTCTATTAGGTTTGAAAAGTTATTTAATTAACCAATTTCATAAATATTTGAGGATAGTTTATACATAGTTTTATTACCTTTTAATTGATATTTAAATACAAAAAAGTTTCTACACTGACTAAATCCATTTGAATCAGAAAGGGGAAATATAAAAGCAAATCTTTCAATTACAACAGAATTCTCAGTAGTATAGCAAGGATAAAATGATCAGAGGAACTTGTTACTCAGGCAGAGGTCTGAGAAAGTTAATACAAGAGAGTTACAGGAACCTTTTCTGAGGATGTAGGTCAGTTAAAATTTTTAGTCTTTGTCCTTGACCTTTACTAGTTTAGATTGGATACTCTGAACATTTGAGACATGTTGCAAGTGGGAATAGTCCAAAATGCACTTAATAACTGCACACAAATGTATTCTCAGTAATCCATTTTGCTCAATTTTTTAAAAACTCTAGCATAATCTCATGCATGAACCTATTGTCACTAGAAAATGGCTTAGTGTGAAGCAGGAATCGCCTTTATGAAGTCTGTAATATATTCCTGAGAAGTTCTGGGAAAATCAGAAAAAAAAAAAGATTTTTCACTTATCCTATACTAATTTTACAGTCCTAACTCTTCAAAAGTGCAGTTGTTTTTGCTTAGTTTCTCCATTTTGTGGGTTTAAGTTAACTATACATTTATTGGAAATTAAAAAAAAAAGCAAGTGCAACCTAAAATAGAGCATGAGACTGTAATAGAAAATTTAGAGAATACACTGAGCAAATATGAAGGCTCACCTGTATGGCATTTTTGCTAAAGTTTGTTTCTACATAATCTGATAAATAATTATATTATTAGTTAAGAAAGGTAAAAAGGGCTCATAGTACAATTATCCTCACTTTTACTATTATTATAGACAAAGTTTATAAAAATAAAAAAAATTAAAACATTATTTCTGAAAAATATAATATAAAGTACATTGAAATATTATTTATTTACTTTTCTAAAAATAAAAGGTACAAGTCTTCAATCACTACATGTATTTTTAAATATATATTTTGTATTATGAAAGGGTACCTAATGTCAATACATCCTAATTTCAAAACTGCATATAACTTCATAAAGAGCTATTCTGGCTACATTTATGAGTGGAGCAGAGAACTCTGGCTTTGTGTCAACTGCCCAACCCATTCCATCGCGGGGCTGGATGCAAGCTGAGACTTCCTTTCATTGTTTCGTGTTTAGCCACCGAGATTTTCTACCAATAAATTTTCACTTTTGCAGATGGTCAAAACTCTAAAGGAAATGTGTTTTCTGTCAACTTATGACCAAGGAGTTTTTCTTTCTTTTGTTCAAAGGTGGTTGATAGCACTGGCAGTTATCTGTAGATGTAATTTGCTTGGTAAGGATTCATACTTTTCCTTGGCATAGATCCATATAAGAGAGTGTTTATGTCTATGTGATGTTCAAGTCCTGTGACTTGTCAGGCCATAACAGGAAGTTGATTTTTATCTTTACAAAAATGTTAGGTCTGCTTTTCTACTGTGCATTATCTCACAAATTAGGGCTCCAGTCCTCATAAAATACACATAGAGGTTTGTTTTTACCTCAGATATTCATAGGACTTCCTGTATTCATTCATGTCTCTGCCCAGAAGTCATCTCCTCAAGAGGAGGCATTCACTAACCACCTTGTCTAATATGTTTCCACATAACTACTCTTTCTTGCCTGACCCTACTTTATTGCTTTCTTCAGAGAAGTTATCACTCCCTGACATTATACTATCTATGTGTCTTAGTCTTTTCCAGTTACTATAGCAAAATACCATACACTATGCGGATTTCCAACAATAAAAATTTATTTCTTACAGCCTAGAGGCTGAAAAGTCAAAGCTCAAGTCCCTGGCAGACTCAGTGTCTGTTTAGGGCAGGCTTCCTGAAAGACAGACATTTTATCCCTCTGTGTATAGGAAGAGTTGCTCTCAGCTACCTTTAGAAGGGCACTAATTCTATTTATGACCTATGGCTTTCCTCCTAATACCATCACCTAGGTGAGGATTTCAACATGTGAATTTTCAGAAGACATAAATATTCAGACTACCGGAGCTCTCCGTAGCTGCTGGCAACTGCAGCCCCATATTCTCTCACTTTGGTTCTCTCCCATATGAGAACCCTGGCAGTATACTACCCACGGTCCTGGATGTACTGTCCTCCACCCTTCTAAAATGTCCAATAAAGTACAGAGGGTCTTCCTGAAACCCGCTGAGGAAAATTCAGGCAATGCCTCACATTGATTCAGAATGAGATTACATTAATATTAGAAAACTGTATTCAAGGAAGCAAGGAGGAGAAAGATTCTCAAGAAAGCATTAATAAGGCATCATATATAAAGAGTGATGCTGAATTTAAAAAGATATTTGGTCCCATCAAAGATTTGAGAGTTTGCCTTACTCAAATTCCTGACCATTTGGGCTCTGGAAAAGGTTTTGACTATGTTAGCAGTTTGGTGAGTGGTACATGCAGAGACAGAGTTTGTGGTGAAGGAAGGGAAAACAAACAGAATTTTGGTAAGAAAAGCAAAAACCATTAAGAAGATGGATCACACAAAGAAGAGAAAAACTGAGAGTGCTTTTAACACAGTCACTAATGGGGAAGCAAATGTCACCACTTCTGAACCCCTTAGCAGTATTTTGCCAACATCAGATATACTACAACATAACATTCTCCCAAGCCACAGCAAAACCAGAGAAGAAAAGAGAACCAATATAAAACACTGTTCCCAAGAGAAGCAGCAGAAAGGTGCATTGAACTCAAATGTAATTTTTGACCAAAGTCATTCCTTTAATAAAAGTTATACTGAAGATATTTTCCCAGTGACACCACCAGAACTGGAAGAAACCATCTGAGATGAAAAAATAAGACTTAAACAGGTGCTGAGAGAGAGAAAGAAGCAGCTCTTGAAGAAATGCGTAAGAAGATGCAACAAAAATAATAAAATGTCTTACACTTAAAGACTTCAATGCAATAACTTTTTAAAATAGCCGTTTTTTATTAATAAAGTAGTTGTCCCATGTCTACCAGGGATATATGACCCACAGTGGATATCTGAAACTGAAGATAGTGCTGAACCCTGCAGTTCCTTGACAGCCACTCCAATAACTGAGACAGCTACTTAAATACCAGTGTGGATACCACGGACAAAAGTGTGATTTATGTTTTGAGCAGAATGGTATAAGATTTCATTGCACTACTCAGAATGACATCCAACTTAAACTGAGGAATTATTTCTTCCTAGAGTTTTCCATTTAGTATTTTGGACACCACTGAAATAAAAACTAAAGAAGGACTACTGTAAATTAATTATGGATGTATTCTGAAAGTGTTTTTGAATATGAAACTTGATTTTTCATCAATTGATTATAAAATTTTATTTAAGGAACATAGAAAAGCTTGATTGACGTTAACATATGACTAATATACATGGGGTACCTGAACCACTGTCTTTAGATACCTTTTTTGGAAGAAAAAATTCTTTATTTTTCTATTGTCTTAACTGAAGTTTGGGTGCTTGTACAGGGGTTTTTTTATTGTATCTTTAGCTAAATTTCTCATGTGTTGCTCTAACAGTAGTTATTATATACTGTTGAAATTCTGCAATTCAAGAAAGGAAGTGAGTTGTAAACGTAACTTTATCATTGAGTTTGTATATGTACTCTTGATCTCCTTACCCATAAAATGATACTTTCTATTCCCCATTGTTGATATCTTTTAAATTTCACAAAAGAAAATATATTAGAGCAGCATTATGCAAATGTTGAGATATTTCTCAAGTGTGAAGGATACTTATTTTATAACTCTACAAAGTTATTTTGTAAATCTAAAACAGTATTTAGAATTCAGGCTATTTGAGTGTTTATTGTTGGTTTAAAGTGATGTATTATTAGGCAGCAATTCATTCTCTTTCTCCATTTCCTTTTTTTGTATATGTGCATATGTTAAATAGCGTGAAAAGTAGATCTGAACACATCTAATACTTTTTAACCCGTATACTTTTCTTAATAGAGCGATACATTTTTCTATCTAGCTGATCTTTGATTTGGGAGAGATTGTGCGAGTAGTGTGGGCATAGGGATTAAGAAGGGGAGAATATTAAAATGATTAACAGGTCATAGAAATAAGACATTTAAGAAAAACTGTACAATGGTAATAAAAGAAAATAGTATAAAATTCTGGACAGGAATAAAACACATCCATCAACTAGATTCTTTTCTTTTTAGTAGCAGCTTTATTGACATATTCACATACTATAAAATCCATCCTTGTAAAGTGGTTTTATTCAAAGGTGTGCCACTATTAATACTTTAGAATACTTTTAGCATCCTCAAAGTCATGCCCATTAGCAATTGCCTCATTCCCCATTCCCCCATCTAAGCAATACACTGTTTCAGAAGAATTATTTATTGTGGACATTTTTTATACATGAAACTATACATTTACTTTTGTAACTTTTTTCACTTAATATTTTCAAGATTTGTTCACATTGTAGCATGTATAGGTACTTCATTATTTATCACCAAATAATATCCCATTGTACTAATGCAGTGATTCC